GTCACCTGGTCATAGAAGGAGACCAGGTGTTTTTATTGCTAATATATCCTTAAATATGAATATCTGATAAATTGAGAAATCATTATTTCCTTTACAGTATTAAGAACCATTTCATTTCTTTATATACAGATTCTGAAGCTTAACATATTTTGGCATTCCAGTGATACACAATTAAGTTTTGCAACACAAAGAATGCATTTTATTACTGAATTGAGGAAAGAATGTGTAGAAGTGTTTTTAAACCTGTGCTTACAAGGTACTGTTACCACTTGTAACAATTTTTACAGTAAAATAATACTGTTTTGTGAGCCACAGATTATGACATGATCCTGTGAAATATTTTGTGATGGGAGAATTAGAATATTACGAAAAAATAGGAGGAAAGTCTTGCCATTCTATATAGGATAAAATAAATTTAAGCCTCCTGAAAATGGCAATTGATGCAGTCCATATATTAAAACATCACACTGTGTGTACCAAAAAGTAAGATGTAAGTGTAATTTGAATGGGACACGATGAAAATGTTTTCCAGGTAAAACTTCATAAGAGTTTCTAGTTTCTAGTAACTTGCTATTACAATTATATCTTCATATTTTCCTTGGGGTTTTATATAAATATTTTTTATTTAACTCAAACAACTAAGCAGTCCCTTTTTTTTTTTTTTACATAGCAGATGGTACGTGAACAATACACTACAACAACACCAGGCACTAGCCTAGAGAGACCGAAGAATGAATATGTCTACAAAATTGGAATTTATGGCTGGAGAAAGCGTTGCCTCTACCTGTTTGTTCTCCTCCTGCTTATCATCCTAGTTGTGAATTTTTCTTTGACAATTTGGATTCTTAAAGTGATGTGGTTTTCCCCAGTAAGTGTCCTCTTTAATTTTCCATTCTTTTCATATTCTCTTCTCTTCCCTGCCCCACCAATTCACTTATTGCTATGTACATCAGCTTCTCTGTATGTAATAGATGGTTCTTTTTCCTTCCTTCTCAACTGTAATTTGTACTTGGTTGAAAGTATATGAGAAATATCTATCTTTGAACATACTTCCTGATCTGTAATTTCTGTATTGGTAATAATCTTTAAAATAATCTTTAATACCGTATATTGAGGTGAATTCTAACCATTCTAAGAGAATGTATTTTACTATTGTCTCATAGTCTCTGTTTAGTTTATATTTTATAAATGTGTTTGCTGTAATTTTATGTCATACAGATAGTATGAGATATATTCCTTAGTGTTAAAATATTGCTGACAGTTGCTGGTTTTTCTTAGCTTCCTTCTCCTATTTATCAGCATCTAAAATTTAACAATTTATTTGCCCAATTAATTACAGCTCAGAGGTAATTATTACTACTTTGTCCTTGAGGCTAAGCAGCTATATTATTCAGGAATAAATTTAATAACTTTCCACTGTCATATATATTTTAATATTTATAATGTAATTTTGCATGTAGTAGATTAAAGGGTAACTTTCAGAAGTCTGCAAGATGTAGCTTTGGTCAGAATGCAATAAAATGCATCAGTGAATATTGAAGCTAAGCTAATTTGTTCCTAACATCCAGTCATGATACATAGATGATTTGAATAGACTTGTTACAGGAAAAACAATAATAGTAAATTCCTACAGCTCTGCCCCTGCTATTGAAAAAAGTGTTACATTAAAGTTCCCATTATCTATCGTTATTATGCCTCTGTCACTAAATGAAGGCCGTTTTATCTTCGTAGAAGCATTTCTATACTCTGCTTTCTCTTACTATAAGCACAGTAGGTTAATTTTAAGTCCTACTTACTAATATAGTTACTAGTGCTTGAATTCCCGTCAAGTTTCTTCCCCCACATAAATTCTTTTCAGCACTGTTACTGTCAGATTACAATGCAGAACATCTTAGATCACATATAATTTTTCTGTTATGCAGTTCACATGGAAGATGTGCACTTAGTGACTGCACATCATGAATCACAGAGAACATGAATAACTTAAAATTGTTTTCTGTGTAGCTCAGGTTTATATTTTTAAGGAGTTTTAAAAATCATTTTCTGTTGATTTGGTTTCTTTGTATGAAACTGGGTATTTCTTCTCTAATATCAGTCAGGACTAAAAAAATAGCATCAGAAACTCCACTTCTAGGAACTCCTATCTCCTACTAGTTATCTGTGAGGAAGGCACCAAATGCCTTGATCTGCTGTGGGACAGTGTCCTTCTGCCTTGGCAACAAGAGCAGTGGAATAACAGCTCAAGTAGTGCAGGCTTACTATGAAGTAGTGCAGGGTGGACTATGAATGCCATAGTTATAAAGGTTTTCTTAATTCTCTGTTAAAGAATCTGTATTCCTGACATACCCGGTTAAATAGTGACTTAACTGTAATGCCTTCATTCATTTGGGATAATTTTAGGGAAATGTCTATATTTCAGCTAAATATCAGCTATAAGAACATTTGTGCAAAGTACACGTGCATGTCACAATCCCCAGCAAAAGTATGTGTGAGGTCATTAAGAAGGGAGAACTTTTTTTTGCTGGCTATTGTTTTAATATCTGTCAAGACAAGAAGTAACTGAAGATACCAGAAATATCATCCAGAGGAGTGCTGCTAGCCTCTAAGGAAAGTCTAAGAAAGAGTATAGGCATTAACTGCATGTTCAAAGTCTGGAAGTATAATTGAAGCATCACAGTCCTTTCCTGTGTCTAAGGAAATACTGTTCATAAAGAATGAGTGTAACAGTCATAGAAATTACCAACACTATCATCAAACACTTTTCCTCGTGGAATTAAGCATTTATGCCTCCAAGTTTTTGGTTATTGTTTGAAAAGGAGAGGTAACAGTATATTCTCAGAAGTAGATTTTTATGGTTCTTGAGTTCCAAGCTTGACAAGTGTTTGCTATTTAGGAAATTAGTTGATTCATATATATCTAACTTATCCAATTAAACATTCCCATTATTGGGAAGAGTTTAAAAGTAATTGTGAAATATTGTTCTATGCAGTCATCAGTTATTTGGCAAATACTAGTCTGTCAGCTGTGATAACACTTTTTATATCTATTGATTATATGTTCTAGGTATTGTAGAGATTACACTACTTATTATGTTTAGTATTAATAATAGATACTGTATTTTTAGCAAATACTTTAAAGGTATTTGGTCCCAGTTTTAAAAAAAATATTAAAATCTTATTCCTGTTAACAATATTAGAATATTAGTAGCTAATAAAATATTAACAACTGTTTCTCTGTAAAATAATACAAGAAACAAGTTGTATTCTTACTAAGGTTGATAAACATATTTAGAAAAAACATGATAAACATTTAAAAAGGTATTTTTATAATACGGTTCTGAAGAGAGTTTATGCTCAAAGAAAACTTTAAAAATAACATGATTGCAGTATGTCATTTTATAAGGAAAACAGTTTTGCAGTATAGTGCATAGCAGTGTTGATGCTTTAGTGATTGACTGGCATAGTTCTATAGCACAGCCCTTTCATGAGCCCAGTCAAAGTTGACAAAACTGTTATTTATACATCAAAGTTTTATAGGATAAAAATTGTTTTCTTTTTCTGTAAAGCATCCTTAAATCTTTCATTGAATAATAACTTGCAGTATATAAAAATCACGTGCTATGTCTATTCATAGATCCACATGAAAATAATAATGAAATTATGAAAAGAGCTTCAACAAGCTCTGGCATAGACTTAATCCATGCATACATCTCCTGTCTCAACCGAAAAAAACAGAGCGTGATAAATACTAGCAAACAAGCTAAGCTGATAAAAGAAAACGTGAACCAGACATAGATATGCTGCAAGATGAATAGATTTTAATCTCCTTGTAGAAATTTGGAAGGATGATGAAAGACGGAGACTTTCCTAAACTCCGTTGTTTGAGAGGCCTTCAGCATTAAATGAACATGACTAAATTGAACAGAATTTCATTTCATTTCATTTCATTTCATTTCATTTCATTTCATTTCTTATAAATTTAGACCAAAAGGGAACAGCCCGAACAGAGAATATATTCCTTTTCTCATACTGCCCCAATTATATAACATATGAGCATCCCCAAGTTGTGCAGATTGATTCACAGGTATGTCTCATTCTTTTTTTCTTTTTCTCTCCTGATGTTTGGGAGGACAGAGTCTCAAGTGTTTTTTGAGGGGTGAGAGAAGAAAGCTGTGAATTCATTATATTCAGCTGTTTTAGAGAAGGCAGAATCAAATAATTACGCCTTGAGCTTGGTGAGTAAGGTGAAATAGAGCAATTTAAAAACTAGAATTAGTTTTGCATAAAAATTAGAAAGTTTGAAAAAAACAGAGGTTGGGTTTTTTGCCCTGGACATAACATATCAAAATTCTGCATGAAATGGAAATTCCAGATTTTGTTTCTAACATATTGGGGCTTTCTGAGACCTTAAAGGGGACTGCTAGTCCTAAGAGTTTAGAAACTAAGAATCTTAAGGGATTTAGGGCTGCAACAGGACGAGGATGTCAGAAGTCCTGTGAATATTTCTGAAGGGTCCGATAGGTCTGAAAGAAAGGAACTTTAATGTCCCTGACATCTGCTGAAAGGACAAACATGGCAGGATGGAAGCAGTGCAGATTTCCAGAGTGTCAGGGATAACTTCTGGGTAGGACAACTAAGGGTGCCACACTTAAGGGTGGATCTGCTGCTCATGGGATCCCATGGGAGCCAGATCTGAAGGGTAAAGTTACTCAGGAAAGCTTGCTGGTGATTAAGGACAGTATCCTCCAAATGCAGGAATGATCTATCCTGATACTCAAGAAGATAAGTAGCCTGGCTTAGCTAGACAGGTTACTTGTGACGGAGCTCCAATGCGAAAAGCAGTACAGGAGAGTTGGAAGGGCAGGCTACAAAGAAGAAATTTAGAAACATTGTCTGGGCCAGGAAATGTGTCATGCTTCCTGTGTCAGGAAAGCCAAAGCTCAGCTTTAGTTAAGACTTACAAAGGACAAAGGGCAACAAGGTGGGCTGCATCCATAAATGCAGAGAGAACTGTCTAATTCTATTGCAGAGTCACCCTCTGCCATGTTTGAAAGGTTAATGGAGACTGGGGAGATCCTCAGTGACTGGAGGAATGCAAGTGTTGCACTTGTCTTCAAAAAAAGAGGCCAAAGGGACTGTCTGGTGAATTATGGGCTACTTAGCCTCACTTGAGTGCCTGGGAAAATGATGGAGCAAGTCCTCTTGGAAGACATTTCAAGGCCCATGAAGGAGAATAAGATAATGGGGAACAGTCAGCATGGATTTACCAAGGGTGAATGATGCCTGACCAATGTGATTACCTTCTATGATAAAATGTCTGGAATTATAGACAATGGGAGAGCACAACATGTATTTACCTTGACTTTAGCAAGGCTTTTGACACTCTCCCACAATATTCTTGTACCCTAGTTAGGATGTTACAGCCATGAAGGGTGGACAAACACATAAGTAAAAAAAAGCCTGGCTGGATGGTCAGGCTCCAAAGGTAGTTACTAATGTGTTGTACTCTACACGGAGGCCAGTAATAAGTGTTGCAGGGGCCTATCCTGGGACTGGTCCTTTTTAACAACTTTATCAATGACTTCAAAGAGGTGGCAGAATCACTAAGATTGCAGATGATACCAATTTGGGGATACCATTCAATACTTTCAAGGCTTAGGCTGACATTCAGAGGAGCTTAGACAGGCTGGAGGAATGGTCCAATCTTACGAAATCCAAGAAGGACAAGTACAAAGTCCTGCTCCTGGAAAGGAAGAGTCCCTGGCACCAGGACAGGCAGATTCTGCCTGGCTGGGGGCAGCTCTGTGGAGAAGGCCCTGGGGGTTGGTGGGCAGCAAGCTGAGCATGAGCCAACAGTGACCCTGGCAGC